TCAAAAACAGGGCAGGAATATTTCCTATCATCACAATATTCATTTCCTTGGAATTATTAATATCATTCAATTCAAAAGGCATTTTGAGAAATAAATAACCAGATAAATGAACAATGTTAGATTTTTTTTTAATATTTATTTATTTATTTTGTGTGTGTGTAGCCAGCTCAGCCCACCTGGGGGCGGGGCTGGCTGGCATGTGGTGCTGGGGGATTGAACCGCAGTCCCTGTGCTTTGTTTAGCTTAGCTTGTTCTAAATAGGTGCTTTAGACCACTGAGCCATCTCAACAGCCCCAATGTTAGAATTTGAGAGCTTGAAGCAGCATTCAGAAAAATTATCTTATTTTTTTGCTACAATATATACTGTGAGTAAGCAGGCTTTTAAAATCTCTGAGATTTAATTAGGTTGGAGAAAGTTTCTTCCATTTAAAAATGACACAAGACTCTAAAGGCTTTAGAAATTCCCAGATTGGATTTAATCTTTTACTTCTGAACATAAAGGATACAAGAGTAGATAAAGAGTCAGACTGGCTCAGATCATGCTTTAATAATTAGATGAAGTCTCTAGGGAAACAATTTACTTTCTCAGTGTCAGTTTCTTTTTCTGTAAAATGGGGATAAGAATTTAGAAAGGATATAACAGTGGTGCAAACTACATGAGAAAATTAAAATGAATGCCTCTCTTACAATGTCTGCCTTAGAGGAATAAAAGCAAAGAAAAAAGTAACTTGAGAGTAGCTATTGTCAGAGAAAAACTACAAAGTCTGGGAATATAATGGTGAACAATAAAACATTTCCTGAAAACATATCCTCAATAAATTGATTCCTTTTACAAAATGTAACAGCAGCTGGATTAAAATAAAGTACAATAAAAAACTATGGTAAAAAAATGAGGTTGTCATAATCACTAGGGATTTTCTAGTCTATCCTACTATATTACAATTTTCTATTTTCCAACAAAATGATACATGAATTTGCATTTAGTGACACTGGCTTAATTAAACAATCTGAAAACTGCTACCTGTAAATTTTAACATATGCTGTACACTATATCAAGAAGTACTTCCATTACTTATAGAAATATCCTATCAAGGGATAACAGCAGTCCAAAGACACAATAAGGCTGCACTGTGAAGACTGAGTTATGCAATAACCATAAAAACAATGTTTCGCAATGGAAAACACTCAACTTTTAAAATTTTAAAGACAATAATAAAAAACAAAAATGATGCAGAATTTCAAAACAAGATGATAGGAAATTAGCCGTGGTTATTAAATGGCATATTGTTGTCTTCAAAGTAATTACCAGATATAAGCATGTAAGATTGATGAAACAATATAAAAACTAACTTATCCTTTAATGAACTAATAGAAATAGTAGTACAATTATCTTAGTGCATATATATATTCCTTCCTTCCTTTTATCCTTTCCTGTATCCCAGTTGTTCTTTCCTTTTTGAGCAGTTTCTTTCTCTTTCACAATGTCTATTGTACCTTTTGGATCTTATGCTTTCAGTATCTTATACTAAGGAGACAATAGAATGTTCACACATAGGAGTCTGAGTTATTTCATTTACAGAAAACACTTAATCTTAAATATTACTCTAACAATAAGTACGGAACATAAATTAATTAAAATAACAAAAGATCTCCAACTTGGGAAATATGAAGTACCCAGAAATCCACAAGGTGGCTCCCAAGGCTTGGCTTCTCAACATAATAGAGTTGTTTTTTATTTTCAAAGATATGAAACAAGACTTATGAATACAAAATTGACTGTTGAAAGACTCATAAATAACTGGAAGAATACAAAGCTATATAATAGAAAACTACAAAGTGAAAAAAAATGAAAATGAAAACATTTTGTAGCTCTAAATTGAAAGAGAACCTAATATTAAAAACTGGCATCAGCTTACTATTGTCAAAATTTAAAATGTCAAACTAAAATGTAAAATGTATGTAATTAATCATAACTAAATATTTTACTAAGACAATAAATGTAAAAGTACATAACACAATATCTCATATTAGCAGTATTCAGTAAGCACCTTATAAAAATTTTGAGTATCCTCTTATGCCAATTTACATCTTAAAAAGTTTATTCTCATAGTTTTATTTTTATTTTAGATTTTATTTTATTATTTTTTTTCGGAGCCGGGGATTGAACTCAGGCCCCTGTGCTCACCAGGCAAGCACTTACTACTGAGCCATCTCCCCAGCCCCTATTCTCATAGTTTTAAATTGGGGCCAGTAGACTATTTCTCCAAAGGGATAGAGAGTATCTTACAGTCTATAGCTAATAATCAGCTCCTGCCTTGGGTGAGCAAGCAGCGATAGATAATAAAAGACTGGATTTGGCTACATTCTCAGAAAACTTTAGTTACAAAATTAAGTTGCAACTCTTTTCCCTCAGATCACAGCTTGTCTAATCTTGATCTAACTTATTTAAAATTGATATAATCAAATAAAATCTGTAAAATACTAACAACATTCAAACCACACGAGGTAGTAAATGGTAATGTTCACAAAATCCCTTGGGAATCTAGCTGAACCATAATTCTTATTTGGTAAGCCTGAGGCTCTATTTTTCTAACAAGGATGCAGGCAATCCAATAATTTTTCACTCCTTTGAACGTACTGTAAGTAGCAGAGCCATTCATTTCAAATCATTTCATTTTAAGAGTCTTCTACCTTCTTAACAAGACTTTTGGATTACTTAGGTTGTATCAGCCAATATTGTACTCGGGAGGTAAAACTGAGAAATTTAATTTTAATGATTTAACTATTAATTTTTTAAAAGAGTAATGATGAAACCACAAGATGTTACATTTTATGAAATTAACAATTTTACATTTTAATTATATAGACAGATGTGTTAAATGCAGTAAAATTTTTAAAAGATCACTAAGTCAAGAAAAAGTCAACAAATTTGTAAAATTTATTCTTGGAACCTATAGATGGTGGATCCTTAACTCAAAACATATCTAGTCTTTGTGGCTTTAATGCTTGACCTCTTCCTGTCATTTGCACCTATTTACCTGTTTTTCTGCATGTCCATATTCAGGTCCTTGAGTAGGTAAAAAGCAGGAAATCTGGCCACAATTTTTTGCTCTTTCAATTAGAGACATAGCTGTTCTTACAGTGGCATTTCGAGCATGTACAAACACCATCACCTAAAATAAAGGAAAGTAATTTAACACTCCAATTCATTAAATCACAGCTTAGTACTAGCCTGGGAATCATCCTTTATAAAACAAGTATTAATTTCTTAAAATAAAGCTCAAATTTGTGAAATATCCTACATTTCCTTATTTTAGGATAAACTATATAGAGAACAAGGATGTTAAGTGAAATTCAATAATACGACTTTATTATCCTATGAATGATTTCTGTGCTAATGAGTGGATTCTATAACACTTGGAGTTCAGTTTGTGCATATCTATTATGACAATATGATTCATTATACTTTATTCATATCAGAAAATTGAGAAAGATAACTTATTCATACAAAGGAATAAAAGAAGCTTTATCATAGCTATGACTCTTTGGGAAGGTTGGTATTGAAGTAATTGTGAGGAAGGGTTAGAGGTCAAAGAAAAAACAATGCAGAGGACAGAAGGTACTCAATGACAGGCAGCAAGTGCAGACTGCTAGCAACTCCCTGATTTTATTCTCCTCAGCTGCATTCACATTCTGTCAGTTGAATATTGTGGGTGTATGAAGCTTAGGAAGCATGGAGGGTCAACCCCAAAGAGTGGCTGTGTTGGTTACAATAAGCAAATCCATAGGATTGGGACAGTCATCACTTGGGAGCACAGATCCGGCCATTGTATGCACCAGATGCCAAGACATGGGGACTTAAAATGTATTGTTTGCCTAGTTGTGCTTCAGTCTTGCTATGGTGCAATCATTATTTTCCTCTTCCTCCTTGTTAGAATGTGAATATTTTCCCTATATCAGTGTATTTCAAAAGAATTAACTTGGTTCACAGATATCAGCATATAGAGTTAGTCATGGTGAGAATTCTACCCATTAACTGCTATTTTCAAAAACCAAAAATTAGACAGAAACATGGGCTTAAAAGATAGCCAATATTTTGACTCTAGCCCTTCAAGGTTAGTGAGGACTCAGAACATGAAAGAAACTCTGTTGTGACATCCTGTAAGTAAGTGGTATCCAAAGTTTTCTGATCAAGGAGATTTTGGAGCCACAGAGGAAAATGATCAATGATACATAGTGTGCCTAAGAATAGTCACCTAGAGAAGAAAATTCTCTCAGGATTTCACAGAGAGCAAATTGGTCAAGCAATGGCCATGACTCATCCACAGGGCTGACACTGACAAAGGACCTGCAAACTGCAGTATAGAGTTATAAGATAAATCCTGAGGGTACTTGCCTGCCCTTATCTGATACAAAAGTTGCATTTCTTGTTATATAGGTCTTGCTTTATCTTGGTCTTAACTATCCAGCAGAAAGGTATAAAAATGAGGTATAAAAAGTAAAGCCATATTAATATGCTGAGCTGTAAAAGGCTCAAGTCAACAACTTCTGACAATTGCCAGTTGTGCTGATAACTCACTACTACTATGCAGTATCGGACTATATTGGGTTACTTTGCTAAATTCAAGCACCTACAATATTTGAACTGGCATCAAGTTTGAAAAGGTCCTTTAAAGACTTCTCCAAATACAGCTTCTTTAAGAGCAATGGAATACCCATCTCTGACAAAACAAAACAAAAAAGGGGGATATAAAGGACTGCTTGTTGTAAAGAAAGAAATATATATGTATATACAAGATAGTCGGGATAAATATATAGCTACTTTCTCTTAGTTCAATGAGAAAGGTTGTACTAATATTGTTTAGACAAGATATCATGTTTGCATCTTGTCCTCTGAATAACTACTACAAAGACAACAATATGCAATGTATTAATTATTGTAACTGTCTTGCTAACCTGTTCTGAAACTGTTTTTTATCATTTTTTTCTCATTAAAATGAATAATTTTTTTTAAAAAAGTATTAACTTGGCTTTAGTTTTTTAGGGTGACAAAGAGCTTACTTTTGCCTTAAGAATCATACTGTGGACTTAATTTTTATTATTTTTAATTTTTAATCTTTTTATGTATTTGGTATAGGGTTTCACTTTGCAGCTCAGACTTATAGTGATCCTCTTGTTTTCAGCCTCTGCAACACTGGGATTACAGGCATGCGCCACTACTCGGAGCCAGTGTGGTCCATGGTGCTGGGGATCTAATCCCGGCCCCTGCTCTTACCTAAGCAGACACTTAGTTCACTGAGCTTTTTTGTCGGCTCTTGGACTTAAGAGTTTTGAGCAATGGAATGCTCAAAATACTTCAGACTCATGGAGATTAACCCAATGAATGCATTTTGCATGGTGAAGAGAACATGCATTTTTCGAAGCCGGATGTGGAGTAGAAGCTTTAAGAGCTTGGCTCTTAAGTGTCTCTCAAAGATCCATGTATTAAAGCTTAATTTCCAGTCCAGCACAACTGGGAAGTGGTGAAAACTTTAAAAAGTAAGTTACAGTGGGAGGTTTTGGGTCACTAGAGTGATCCTCAAGGAAACTGCAGCCACTGGTCTCTCCTCTCTTGCTTCCTAGCCAGAGGCACATCTGGGGACACTGGTGCTGCCACGATGATGCTGTACCTTGCTAGACAACAACAGTACCTACTGACCATGGAGTGAAACCTCAGAAATTCCAACCCCACATAAACCTTACCACTTTAAGTTGGTTATCTCAGGTGATTATTATTATTATTATTATTATTATTTACAGTATTAGGAAGTAGTTTATAATCTTGTCAAACAAAATGTTTCCATATTTATGATACCACTTAAGAATTACAGTGAAGTCAAATCTTATACAACAATCATAAACTAGAATGGCTACATGTAACATTTTTAGGGTGAATGTAAATTAAAGATAAGAAGATAATGTGTTGTAGGGGATGGTAGCTCTCAATTGGATTAATTTTATCCTACCAAAAGAAGCTCTAGCATTCAGGGAGATGGCTCAGTGGAATAAGTGCTTGCCTGGCAAGCACACGGGCCTGAGTTCAATCTCCGGTTCTGAAAAAAAAAAAAAGAAAAGAAAAGAAAAAAAGAAACTCTAGTTTACCCTTAAATCTACCTTACCCACTCTAGTTAAGATGCTGTGGGCATTTGAGCAGAGACAAAACTAAGGAGACCAGACATGCTTCTGATCTGTAAGGATCAGGGAAGCATGTTCCAGTGCCACCCAGTCATTTAAGAACTGTAACCTGAGAAGGGGCCAATGCCCTATTAATAGACTCTTGTTTTTTTCCTAACTTTGAGTCTAATATGGAAATAATCTGTTTCAGTGGGGAAAAATCAGAAGTTGTTTTTCTTTCCAAAGAGTTAAAAGAATTAAAATATTGTAAATCATATAGCAAAACAATATAAGCTAATAGTCATGGAAAAGAATGTAAAAAGAATTAAAATGTGAGCAAGGAGTGGTGAGGCTTGCTTACAATCTCAACACTCAGGAGTCTAAAGCAAGAAAATCACTGTTAGTGCAAGGCCAGGACTGATGGTAAGTTCAAGGCCAGTTTGCACTACACAGTGATACTCTGTCTCAAAAAAACAAAAAAGAAATAAAAATAAAAGAATTAAATATACCTTATGTACATGAAGTATCAACTCCCCATGATGAATATAATCATTATTTACTGCTAATATGTACCAACAAAAATTTTTAAAATCCTCTCATGTGGAAAAATCCAGTACTGCATATGTCCAATTCTATCCTTGTATGTCTTGCAAACAGTAGGGTCATTCTGTTTGGCAATATAGATTGTTTTTACTAACATAAAAGTAAATTATAAAACCCCATTAACCCCAACATTAAAATTTTTAACATAAAATTTTTGAAACTGAATTAAAATGAGGTTAATTTCATTTATTTTTTCAAACACTGTTCAGCATACATATATAGCCAGTCCCGCCTCGCCTCCCCCAAAAATCTCAAAAACAAATGTCTCCTGTTCTTTTGAAGGTCAGAATCTAGTATAATAGCTTAAATAAACTCTAAATATTTTTACTTTATAAAAATTCACAGGTCAGGGCCAGCCTCATACTTCAGCAGACTAAAATGCCTGCTTAGGCAGAATGCAAGGGCCAGAGTTTGAATCCCAGTGTGTCTTGCCGGTCCCGCCCGTAGAGCACTCTGAGAGGGTGATAGAGACTGGGTATGGTGGTGCCCACCTGTAATCCCAGCACTTGGGAGGCTGAAAACAGGAGAATCACTACGAGTCCGATCTAGTAGTGAGACCCTGAACACTCTGTAAACCCTTCCCTAAAATACACACACACACACACACACACACACACACACGAAAAAAAAAAAATTCCCTATCTAATCTGTCAAATAAATAAAGGATATCAGGAAATTTTAAGGTACTTTATATAGCCAGTACAGCCTCTACATTATTTATCAGATGAGCTGGGTTTTATTTTATTTAATTACTGCTATTGTTAAATTTTATTTCTTTTTAATCTTCTTTATTTGGTACAGGGTCTTACTACGCAGCTCAGACTCAGTGCTGCTCATCTCAGTCTTCCCAGCACTGGAATTACAGGCATGTACCACCATGCCCGGTTTCAGTGGCCTGAGATGCACACCTGGGGTTCTGGCACCTGCACGGCATGTAGTACTGGGGATCAAACCCAGGTTCTTCTGCTTGCCAGGCAGGCACTTAGACCACCAAGCTACGTCCACAGTCCTCCTATTGGTACATTTTAGATATAATAACAGTTGTCCTATGGATTGTTTTTTTGGAGGTACCAGGGATCAAACTCAGGACCTTGCACTTGTCAGGCAAGCACTTATTCTACTGAGTTATCCTATGGGCCCCTGTCCTATGGAATTTGTAGCGTATATGATGTCTTGATTCTTCTGTTTGTCCCATTGGCTTCTCACTTCAACTCCTCTTTTTCTTAGTTACAAAAAGCTTTGTTTCCATTTTTCTCCTTTGTCATTTTTTTCTTTTTCCTTTCTTGGTTTCCTCTTGCCTCCTTTCCCATTTATCATTTCTTCCTATTTCACAATATGTATACATTTTTAGTTTCTCACACTACAGAAACCATTCAACATCTGTACATGGTCTCAAGTTCATCCTTTTATGACAGAG